CCCCTCCCGCCGCGGAGCGGAGCGCCCGCAGAGAGCCGCCCGGGCGCGGCCGGCACAGGCGAGGGGCCGCCGGGCGTTCCTGCCACACGGGGCCGAGGCGCAGGGAAGAGATGCTGGAGGACCAGAGAGGGCAGGAGCACGGGACAGGAGGAGGGGTGGGGTGGGGCAGGACGGGACACGCAGGGGACAGGGTCAGCGAGGGACGCTGGACAGGACAGGACAGCAGCCAGGCGTCTTTCAAGGCCCAAACAACCTGCAGACACACCGCAGGCACCCTGAACTGGACCCAGCTGGGACTCTGACACCACCAATGACCTTCTGCTCATGGCTTCTGGTGCCTGATCACCATGCCAACAGTGTACCCTCCTGTCCGCCGCGTGTAGCTGAAAGACTGATGCCAGGGCCTTCTTACTGAGTGGAAACAAGGCCTCTGATTGGACAGCAGGAGGGGAAGGGGGAGAGAGGGGGGCGGTACCTTGTCCTCCGACGCCTGCAGGGACTTCAGCGATTGGTCGAAGCCTCGCAGCTGCTCCTCCAGCATCCGGGCTTTGCTGTTAGTGGGTCAGATGACAGAGGAGTGCGTGCAGAGGGGGGAAGGAGGTGGGATGAGGAAGAGGAGCAAGCATGGATGGGGTGTTCGCGACATCCATGGCATGCGAGTCAGCAGGCAGAGGAAGAAGAGGAGGAGGAATGGAGGGAGAGAGAGCGTCACACTGTTACGATGCATGAAGTGGTCATGGGTCAGACGTGACATCACACGCAAGCGCCCCTGCGCCCCGCCGACACCAGCAAACCCTCCACCGCCCCCCTCCCGCAGGGTCATTCCCAAGAGTCAATATCATCAGCTCTCGGAACAGCCATTTCACTCAGGAGCCAGCTTGTCCAGGCCTCCGAGCTCTGTGCCTCTGTACAAGGTGGGTAACACTGCACAAGCCTGCTTGCATCGAAGCAGGTCTGGAAGAGCTCAGTCTGCACCTCAGAGACAGGTCCTCCAGCTCTCACTTCAGAAGAAATTAGCCTGGCTATGGGTGTGTGTACAGTCATAGGAGGAGCAGGTCAGTCCCAGACGGGACTGTCCTGTGTGAGGTAGTGTGTAGTCGTAGAAGGAGCAGGTCAGTCTCGGCTTGCGAGGGACGTGTGAGAGTTTTGGAGAGCGACTCACGATTCTGCCAGCTCGGCCCTTTCCTCTGTGCGCTCCAGGTCTCCCTCAATGATCACCAGCTTGCGGGCCACCTGAGGGGAGAAAGAGAGGAACATGGGAGGATGGGGGGGAGGGGGACTGGCTCACTTCCTGCTCCTGGCGAGGGGAAGGGGGACACTGGCTCTCTCTCTGCTCCGGGAGGCGGATAGTGAGTAGACTCACCTCCTCATACTTGCGGTCGGCCTCCTCAGCAATATGCTTGGCCTCCTTCAGCTGGATCTCCTGCAGCTCCATCTTCTCCTCATCCTTCAGGGCCCTGTTCTCAATCACCTTCATTCCCCTGCAGGACAGAGACAGAGCGGGCTGACCTTCCCACACCACCAGCGCTCGGCCACGGACGCCCCCTCCACAGCAGTCTCGCCGCCCGTCAACGGTCAACAACGAGCAGGCCGAGGTCAAGAGCTCCATGCCCTCCAGGAGCAGGATCGGACAGCTCATCCGTCAACAAGAAAACGGAGCCGCGGGGAGTTCAGGCCAGTTCCTGTCTCCGTGTCCAGGGAAGGCGGAGAGAGACTCTGTCCCGTTAAGTCTCCCGAACGCCAGCCTGCAAGCTCATCGATCAACTCCGTCAGCCAACTGCTCAACCATGGCGAGGGCCGAAGAGCAATAGGATTTCTGACCTTCAAACTCCATTTACCCACGTCACCCCCTCGCCCGGTCACAGCCGCTCTGTTCCAGGGCTGGGGCGCAGTGGCGCCTCGCTCTTGGAGAGCCTAGGCTGTCGTTTCTGTGCTCGGAGCGCGGTACTCTGCCCGCCTGCGGTCTCCTCAGCCCAGTGGGGACAGGGGGCCGTTATGAGGAACGTCACGAGGGCGACTCCCAGTCTAAAAGAATGACCGCGGCTCCTCGGACACCACGTCTCGGTTCTCCTCCCGCCGGTCCCGGTTCCCGGCGCAGATGCACCCAGGCAGCCCCGGAACCCGCCAGAGCACGAACCGCTACACGAGAGCCCGGGAGTCGGGCAGGAGGAGGGAGCCGGACTGCTGTGGGCTGGGAGCCTCACGGCACTGTAAAACCCGGGAGTGGATTAACCTGCTCTACACTGGGAATCTGACAAAACTGAT